TAAAATATAATTATATATATATATATATATATTTTATAAAATTAATATTTTATTTTGAATTTATTGCATCAAAATATTTTTATATTGAATAATTTTTATACATAACATATCAATCACTTTTCATTGTTAAGACTTTATTTAAACAACTTTTTAAAAAAACCAATATATTGTAATTAATATTATTATATTATTTTTTAAAAAATATAGATCTAAATTCATTAATATTTATTTAAAAAAAACAGACACCCAAAATCTTATTGAAGACCATGTTAACCGTCCCATGTATGATAAAATTCAAATTATTTAGATTTTAGATCATAAAACTTATATATCATCCTGTTTATTTTGTTTGCAATAAAGATCGGCATTAACATTCTTATCGATAAGTCCCACACGGTTGGGCCATCACCGCATTCTTTCTGTTTTTTTATTGATTTGATTTTCTTTCCTTCTATGGATAAGATGACAACAAACTATGAATTGTGTGAGACTAAAAAGTATACCGAGGAAACCACAAGGAAAAAAATATAGAAAATTTATTCCGATAGACTTTTTCTATTATAACATGGATTTTTAATGCTTATGTAATGTATCATTTTTAATCCTCTATTTAGTAATTAATAATAGGGTACTCGGTGCAATTTGATATTCTGTAGTTCTTTTATTTGTCTTAACTATCAATAATACTGGTCCATAATTTATTTGTGCATATATTATACCTTTTAAATAATTATATCATATTATGACTTACAAAAATATTACTTAATTTTCAGTGTTATTTGAAAGGTACTAACTAATGAGAACATTCTTATATATACAACTTGTTTTAAATAATTATAAAAAATACAATTTATTTATTATGATATTATCTTATGTAGACAATAATGATATCCACAAAGGAGAATGAATAAGAAGAAATTTTCTGTGTTGTTATTCAACTTCGGTTCAATAGAAAGAATTTGGACTTGTACGGCGTATCTAATGAAAAAAAAAATTCTCTAGTGTGCGGTAGAGAGTTATATATTTATTATATCGAATCAAACACTAAATTAAAATGTGTTTATAATAAACAATCTAACCAAGTCCGGTACATTAAAAATCTATCAAAAAAATTCCAATTATGACCTTAATCTGTTCACTTGAGTCGGTTAACAAATAAATGTCATGTTCATATTCAATTTTTTGTACTATATCAATACAACTAGCATTTTTATTCCAACTTTGAATCTGTACTCAAACTTTGCAAGAGAACATTATTTTCTCTCTCAAAATATATAAATTATATTAGTTTTATTGCATGAGGATAGTGATTAATTTTTGAAGAAAGTGTTTTTAACTGATTTTCTTAAATGAGTTTTTATAGAAGATTAAAAAAAAATTAACCTCTCTCTTTTAATTTTTTTAGTTTGATAATAAATTTTAATATTTTTAAAAATATCAATAAAAAATATCCTTATATTACCATGTAAATATTTATTATAAATTTAAAATATAAATTATATATTTTAAAATATTTATTTATTATTAAATTATAACTATATAAAATAAATATTTTTCTGCACTGAACAATAGACAGACTAAATTACTGGTTAAATTAAGAATGTGTTGCACACTGTTGCAAACTTGCAATAAAGGCCCATGGTACTAGACAATATGTGCACACTATATCAAATATTAATACAATTTAAGAAAACAATAATACACAAATAAAAATAAACACGAAAATCTTAACAAACACTACTGAAAAACTTAAATGACATCGGACAATGACAACACTTTTAATCTGGGTTTAAACTCCTATACTTAATAGAACTTGAACTTCTTTTAAAAAAATTCAACATTTAACAGTTCTGCTATTGCTTGGTCCAAAGGCTAGAAATCATAACAGACTAACAGTTTCTTTTAAATATGGGTTTCAGGATTGATATCTTCATGACCGGCTATGCTACAATAGCTTCTAGTAATTGCAGCCACAAAAAACGGAGTAGAGAAGAAAGGAAGAGAGGCAGAAAAAACAACATAAAAGAAGACAAAATGAACCTATGCACAGCAGTCTGTGCTAGTCAACAGTCTCACACAGCTTGATTGTGCTACAGATCATGGCTGAGGAGTTTCTCTAAGATAAGGGTTCTGAGATCATTTAGCTGTTTAAGTCCAACAACATTAAATCCCAGTATAACCTGAGAACAATGATGTAATCGAAGACAATGAAAAGAAAGAAATTCTGAACACTAACATTGAGTATCATTAGTCAACTCCTTATTCTGAGCATAGTAAATTATGGTAACCTATCAACCTCAATTTATTATTATTTTCAAAACAAACACCAGTTATTAATATTCCTCATAAACCATTTATAACAAAATTGTATTAAATTTAGAAATTAGAAATATCTTAATGAGCAGATGATGTCTATTCTCAACATCTGGGCCCTAGGTTGGAATTCTCTATCTAAATCTCCATGACTACACTTGACAAATCTTTCTCTATGTTCTACAAGGAAATTATTGTCCAGTCCAAATAAATGAGAATGCTATAATAATATAATTAGCTTTTGCACTTCTTCTTTCATCTTAAAACAAGATGGTAACTTAATCACAATTTTTACAGTTCCTTTGCCTTATTATTAGGGGGTGTGTATGGATTAATCAGTTTACCATGACAGAAAACATCTCACCTTTTGCTCTTCTACAGACTAAACACATAGGAAATAAGAAGGTTAAATGTATAATTTAGTCCACGTGTAACTGATTCTCAATTTAGTCCCTACATATAAAAACATATTAATTAGGTCCCTATTGTTACTTCTTATTTAGACGGTGTTACCAATAATTGTACCTGGTTAGATGTATGTGTGTGACCACGTTTCTCACTTTGACAAATAATTGAACCAACATACATATTCATGTATATTAGTGTCGCGACTTGAAATTGCAGATGCTTCCAAATCCATGGAGCTCTAAGACCATGTCTCTCTTAGACTTGCTCTTGTTGTACCTACAACTACTCTTGTTAGGGGATAATAAATAGAATAATATTAAACACATTTAGGGATTGTCGAGGGATAATCCACCATAGAAAATGACCCATGTATTAAACTGTCTATGTAGGACTATTTGTAACACCATTTAAACATGAAATAACAGCAAGGACTAATTTAATAATACTTACACATAAGGATTAATTTAATAAGTTTTTAAGCATATGGACTAAATTGAGAATCAACCACACGTCCACACCTGATGGGACAAAATTATATAACCAAATAAGAATATGGACTGAAAAAAATCCTGAAATGGAACAAAGCCAATATGATGTGATTTAATTCAATCAGCGCATATTCTTCTCTATATGTCAATAATATTGCAGACATTACCAATAACCGGATAGTCTAAATCTTGTGGAAGATATGTTTCCAAAGTAAAAGAAGCAATTAAGTGTACCATTCAATAAACAGAAAATATATGTACATTTTAATGATCCAAGGACTATTAATAGACACATATGCATGGAAAAATCCGATTTCCTTATATCATAATGTACTATGTAAGATTTGAATCAAACATACTGAAATCTGTAAGAGAAACAATTAAATATACGATACAAGTATACAACCATCAATAAACTGAACATGGATCTATGTATTTTAACGATCCAAAACCCCCCAACAAAATTCTCAAGAAGTTATGAAATATGAACTCATAAAAAATAAATAAATATTGTGAACTCCATTAAGCATAGCATCTCCTAATTCCAATCTTATAAAACTAAACCACTAATCATGCAGTGCATGATTTTGAACCATGTAAAACAAAATAAACTCCTAAATCTAATACTCAAATAACTGAAACTACCATAACAATTTCTAAAACTCCACATTACCTCTATATGTTGATTAACAATGATCAATATATAAGATCACCAATGATCAACAACAACAACAACCTCATGTATTCTATCCTAATACTAAGGACAAGGTGATAACAAACTCTCAACATAGACCTCTGAGGTCATATACTCATCGATGTTTTGAAGAATCGTAAAAGCTCTATCCATGGGATCATAAACAACCAAGTCCGAGGAGAACTCAAACAGTACCTGGTCATCCTCGGAATGACAAAGCATCTTGGTGTATGGAAAGTAGCCAGGCTCTTCCACGTAAAAACTGAACAACCGGTCCCAACTCTCTTTACTCCCATATTCCCCCATAAGCCAAACATCCAAACTAGTGTTGCCATGAGAGAGAAGGCACAAGCAATCCCTCAACACACCCAAAGTCACAGTAACCACGTGCACTCCTCCATAATCAGGCTGCGGAACCTCTTCACACAACTCGTTCCCCAAATCAAGAGAAACAATAACCCTAGAACACGAAGCAGCACCTGAAGCCAACCAATTAAGCGAGCCACCGACGAATTTCCCCGATTCAGGCAAGAGAAACACGGAAGGAAAGTCGTGAATCGTCCTCCACATGTTGGTGCCCAACGCAAGAACGTTGGCCTCAGTTTCGCAAACAGAATCGCGTTGGAAGCTGTAAACTGCGACCACCTTGTAAGTGTGGGTGGCACTGTCGTAACCGAAGCCGCATACCAGATCGCTGAGATCGTACTCGCGCAGAGGCGGCAATGTGTTGAATTTGGCGATGGTAGGGTTCCATAGAACGAGAAAACCAGGGGATTGTTCGACGGCGAAGCAGATAATGCCGCCGCAGGAGCCAACGACTGAGTCGAAACCGTTTTGGTTGCGCAGAGGGGAGCTGAGCACCGTGGGAGTAACGGTAACGGCGTTGAAGACGGAGCGGAGAGGGTAGGTTCGGAGAGTGACCTTTTCCGACAGGCTGGTGAAGCTCAGGATGAGGTGCGTGGCCGGCGGTGAGCGGCGGAGTTGGTTTTTGGCGAATTGGGGATCGGAAATTAGGGTTTTCCAGGATTTACATACGCAGCGGAGTTGCAAAAGGAGCTTGACAGGGAGGCGCAGGAGGATTTCCTGGATGAGCTCGATTGGTAGCAGCGTATCGGCGGCGGCGGTGGCTGGCGCCATTTGTCACTCACGTTGTTTCTGCATTCACATGTTGGAATCTGTGAATCTTACACAAACAGATTTCCATACCCACAGATTTCAGATTTCGGAGCACATTTTATGAACGCCACATAACATAGCGTCATGCTATTTGATTATTTCCCGCATTTATAATTTTATATAGAGTGGGAACTGACATTTGACTTTCACTATGGCTTTAGAAATGGAAAATAATCACAAACGTCACAGTCAAACTAATTTCCTTGTACCAAAAATTCATTTATTATAAAAATTAAAATAAATAAAGTCAAACCAATTTTCAACCCACCCTTATATTTACTCATACTTAAAATATTTTTTTTAAGTTCTTATAATTTAAAATAATATTTTTTAATCTTATATTTATCATTTTAATTTTTTTAGTCTTAATAATTTAAGATATGTCTTTTAATCTTTATATATGTAGATTTTAAATCTTTTCTAAACTTTATTATTAATCTTTTTATATGTTGTATGTTATTCTGTTGATATAACAGGGGTATTTAACTATGTTTTTATCATTAAATTTATTTTGTTAAAGTTGTTATCAATTAAGTCTTTTAACATTTTGTATTTTTTTACACTCACAAAATTGTAGCCTTTGTCACATTAACTTTAAAGAGATAACATTAAGAAAAATTAACAACGAAGGCTAAAAATGATTAAAACAGAAAAATATAAGGAATAGAAATATATTTTTTAAACTATAAAAATTAAAAAATATTAATAAAAACAAATACAGGAATTAAAAATATTTATTTTAAAATATAAAGATTAAAAAGTAAAGAAAGTAAAAATTATAAAAATTAAAAAATATATTTTAAATTTTATTCCAAAATAATTGTTTATAGAATATCAATATACTACGCATTACTAATGAGAAAAAATATATGAAAATATTAAGGAATCAAAACTAGAAAATTTGTATTAAAAAATACATTTACACATTCTTTGGTGTGACTTTATTATAATTTTTAATAAATATAAATAAATATTAATTATTTAATAAATGCTTTTAGAACACTAATTCACAAGACACATATATAACAAAATATCATATAATTTTTTAAATTTAAAAAAAATTATAAATGTAATATATACATTAAAAAATTTTAATTTAACTATTTAATTATTGAAATTTGATATAGAATACATTTTATTAGGTAAAATAAGTATATCAAAACTTACTTAGTAGACTCCTATACATAGATAAAGGTCTTACAGTTAAATGTTGACGGGAGAAAAAAAGAGAATTATAAGTAATAAAAATTTTCATTTGTAATAGAAATGTAAAGTGTAATTACTTAATAGAGGTTTTCATTTGAAGGATAAAATAATTTCATTAAAAATAAAGACCAGAGAAAAAATATACTTTTTATTTATTGTCATAGATTATAGACAAACAATTTTATACTTTTATATTTGTCTAATTTTTTTATGAAAATATTTTTTTTTTAAGAAATAATTTTTAAATTTTAAACAAACTAGTTCATTGTTGATTGAAAGTTTAAATCTTTTGACTTTGGCTATAATTTAGACTTTAAAAATGGAAAATAGTTAAAATATACTACCTCCTTCTCTATTCATTTTTTTTTCTTGTTTTGTTACAAAACCTTCTTCTAATTGTCAGTTATATTAACTATATCTTTTCTAAAATATTTTTATTTAATTAAAAATTATTTTAGATAAAAAATATTAAATATTTAAAATTAATTAAATAAAAACTAAATAGACACATAAATATCTTTCTCCTAAATACTATATTAATTAATTAGGTGAAAAATGATTAAGTAGAAAAAAAAGTTAATTTTTGAAAAGTAATTTAAATTATTTATAAATTTAATACTCTTAATTAAATTAACTAATTTTATTTAATTAAAACAAGAATAGAGGTAGTTAAAAGGGTTTTGTAAATTGTAATAAGTTAATTTAGTTCAGATATACCCTTTTAAGATGGAGGTAGTATGATTAGATGGAAATTACTAACAGTTTCTAATACATTATTTTCAAATACTCTTCATTATAAGATAACATTTATTAAAAATCATGATTTTTTTTTAAATATTAACATTTATTCATTTATTCATATGATTTGGTTCGTAGTTATCATAACTTTCGGGACATTTCGATGCAAAAGTACGTTCTTGTTACTTTTAATCAACGGACGGATGAAAACACACTGTATAAGTGCTAAGACGTCAACCTGTGTTTGGTATTATTTATTATTTTTTTATTCTAACGTAGTTTGTTTCAAGTTATAACATTATATCGCTAGAAATCACATTCTTAATAATACGATAATGAATAATGCTAATATAAAAATGCGTTTAGTTAAATTTCCACATTAAATTTTTTTTTAAATAATTGAAAGAAATAAAAATAAAAATTAATTTTTATATATTAAACGCGAATAACTATCATACATGAGAGTATTTTTAAGGCTTATTTGTAACATTGTATCTAGGTAAATGGTATGTGTTGTGAGGATATCTGGTAAGAGTTTCAACTGACTCTGAGAAGAAACGATATATAAGATTTTCTTTTAGAATTAAGTTTTATAAGTTTAGTTCTAAAGAATTTTAGATAGATAGTCCATAGATAGAAGTTCTAGTCCTGATTCTTTCCTTCTTCCTAAACCTTCTCTTGATTAGTAAATCTTTTTCTCGGGATTTCTTATCTCTTATTGTATGTCTTAATTTATGTTTAGAAGCTTGAATCTACCCTGATAACATGTGGAGTTCTTTGGAGAGCTCAACTCCCTTATTCTCTTCTCCTCATCATCTTGGTGTGATTGTTGAAGTAAAGGAAGTTGGGATTGATAGTAAATGAAATGATTGAATTGCATATTGTTGATTCTAATCAAGAATGAATGATGGCTTAAAATTGCGAATTTTTCATGATGAAAGAGTGGGTTTGGATGTTCTTGAGGTGACTGAGATGATTTTGATGATCTTGAAAGACTTTGTTATTGCATGTGGTGATTTTGGGGCAAAATAAATTGTTGGGAAGGCATAGGTGTGAAAGATTGAGTTGCATGCATGAATTGATGTATGGGCAAGGTGGATTTTTGGATTATAGGAGTGTGTTACTAGGTTGGTGTTCTTGAGCTTTGAATATGCAAGTTTTTGGGTTCTTTCGCTTAGAGTGTATGTGGGGGTCGCTCGGGGTGAGCATGTGTGACCAAGTCAAGGATGGTCTCTGACATGGCTCACTTAGAGTGAATAGTGGTCACTTAGAGCGAGTTTCGGAGGCTTAGAGCGAGGACTCACTCGCTTTGAGCAAGTGAAGGTGGAAGTTCAGGGATAGTCCTTAACTTTGATTGCTTAAAGTGAATTAAGGAGTGCTTTGAGCAAATTCGGTTGCTCAAAGCGAGGGTGATGTCGCTTGAAGTGACCAGAGTGAGACTCTAAGAGTGCTCTTTGTTTGGGCTCACTCCAAGCGAGTTCAGAGGCGCTTATAACGAAATTGCATCACTTAGAGTAAGGATTGAAGACACTTGAAGTGCTTGGTCCCTTCTTTGTTTTATAAGATGGATGTTGTATGAAGTAAGAATGAAGGTTAATTTAATACCTTGTGTACCGATTGTATATTGATTTGCGATAATGTATGATGATGATTTAATTGTTGGTGATTAAATGTTGTAGGATGAACATGAATAAAAGACTTAAGTCTATTGCATATTGTTTGATTTGCATGATGATATTGAATATAAATGTTTTTATTCCTATACTTGCTTTATTTTTGAAATTTAGTTTACCCTTGTATATTTTCCTTATGACTAGAACTATGATGATCATGATTTTCATGGAAGTAGAATAGGATCAACTAGAGTCGAGATGTGGGAGTTCCTAGTGGGCCATATATTTTGACAAAGTAATCTTTGACTACTTTTGATGATTTGTATAAACATCGCTTAACTAACGAGTTAGGATTTTTTATTCTTTACTTATTAGATTATTAGTGGGAGTATGTTAGCAACCTACACCAAAATTTTATGACAAAAAAACCACTCATTTCTTTTGATTTGGTTTATTTGTATAAAGGATATTATAGTAATTTAATTTAATTTTAAATGAAAATAAAATATTTTCTCTCTCTTATTAACTTCACTCTAAGTCATTTATCTCTCCTATTAAATTCATTCTCCTACTCATTTCTCTTTTCTATTAAATTCTTTCTCTAACATATTTATCTCTCTCCTATTAAATTCTTTCTTTAACTCATTTTTCTCTCATCTCTCATGATGTCTCTCCCCTTTTTCTCTGAACAAATAAAAATTAATTAATTAGAAAAAATAAATGAATTGGAGAATGAAGTTAATAAGAGAGAGAAAATATTTTATTTTCATTTAAAATTAAATTAAATTACTATAATATCCTTTATACAAATTAATCAAATCAAAATAAATGAGTAGTTTTTTTATCTTAAAATTTTGGTGTAGGTTGCTAACATACTCCTACTAAAAAATAAGTAGAAGTACATTAGCATTCCCCATATATATATATATATATATATATGCCACAGTTTACATATTCTAATAAAATGAGTATATAATGTTAAGTAATTAGTTGTAATTTCGTTGCTAGTAGATGGTAATTCCATAAAGTGTAACAATCATAACACGTCGTTACACTATTTTTCAATAAGGGAGTTTTAAAAAAATTCTTTTAACTTTGTATTTAATTCAATTTGATATTTATTTATGAAATAAATTATAATATTTTTAAAATAAATTATCAATAAGAAAAAATTGTATCGTAATATTTAACTTAAATCTAAAATCTAAATCCATATGTTTAAAATTATATATTTATACAAATTTTTAAATATTATATATATTCAAATATAATATTTATTTATAAATATAATTTATTATAAATTTTAATTATATATAATAAATATCTGTCCTATTAAAATGCACATATTAAAATATTATTTATAATTAAGTTATACTTTTGTTTTTTTATTTATAGAAATATAACTTTCTTACCTATGTTCCTGAGACTATAAATGAAGTAAAAAAAAAAATACTACTCTTTTAAATATGAATAATATTAAGAAATACTTTTTTTGACTTATAACAAGCATATATTCTGGAAAATGAATATTTAAATCTTGAAACAATTATTCCTTAAGTATGTATTTGGATGGCATATTTGAGAGTTCTAAAGAATTTAAGATTTTAAGAATTTCAATTACTATTTTTTATTTGAATAAAGTGATCAAATTCTTTCATTTTTCAAAATTGTGTTTGAATAAAATAATCAAATTTATTTGTTTCAATAATTTCTTATTTTGATAAAATAATCGAATTTCTCCATTTCTAAAAATTTGTATATAAATAAAACAATTAAATTTCCTTCATTTATGAAATCTTTTATTTACATATAAAAAATTAAATTTATTTATTTATTTATTTTCAATTTTTTTTTTATAATTACTCTATTTTAAAGATAATTTATTTTAATATGCCTGTCAACAGAAAAGTTAAACTTCTAATTACAGTCTCAAACGCGGAAAAAAAAAATATAATGTAAACTTTTCATTATCAATCAATAATATTCCCACTCTCTAAACTTCCACAGTCACATTGCTTAAATAAGGTATTAGTGATGATAAAACAAATTAGTGATGTTAATAACTAGTATTTTAGTATGTATAAATATTTATTATATATAATTAAAATTTATAATAAATTATATATATATATATAACAAATTCCATTCTCATCAAAATATAATCAATTAGAGGTTTAAAGCAAACAATTAGAGGAGAATATAATATCCTACACAAAACTGATATCTAAAAAATGAACAGCAAAGGGGATCGAAGTTTGTAATATAGAACTGAGCCAACAAGACCAAAAAAATTAGAATTTTGGTGCGTGCTTCATCCTTGAAAAAAAATCGGCCGATCAACCATTTCAAACATCTTTATACAATCCATAATCAACAATATTTTTCTTTAACCAAAAAATGAACTCATCAGAATATCACAATGTTAAACATCTCTGTGCAGGCCGTTTCAATTCTAACCGCATGATGTTTTACAATTTATACCTCATCAATATACAGAGGCCTGAGGATTATAACATGCACAGTGCACTGTATCAAGAAGAGTCATAAATTAGCAATCTCTACAGAACTGCTATTAAAATCTCTCGCTCTCTACCTTACGAATTATGGAGTTAATGTCAAACAAGCTGTTATTGACTCACTCAGTGCATATTCTTCTCCAAATGTCAATAATGTTGTAGAGAATGCAAATACACAAATAGTCTAAATTCTTGTGGTAGATATTTCCCCAAGGTAAAAAGCAATTACCTGTACCATTCAATAAACTGAAAACATCTATATGTTTCAAATAATCCAAAAGCCAACAAAATAAGCTGTCAAGAAGTTATTACATACTTGATACTTATAAAAAAAATATTACGAACTTCATTAACAGACACATGCATAGTCATTTGTTTAGTACATAATATACTGTGTAAAATTTGAAGCAAAAACACCGTGAATGTGTTACATACTAGTGACTTGGCATAACAGCTCCTAATTCTAATCGTATAGAAATAAGCCACTAACCATCTAATGCAATGCATGACCGTGAACCATATATAATACAAAATAAACTATAATACTCAAATAACTGAAACTAACATAGAACTTTATACAGCTCCAGATTGCATCGATTATTTATAACAACGATCCTTGAGGTCACCAGTGATTAGAACAACAAAACATTCCTAACAAATGAAAACATATAAGGAGCTGTTGGTGGATTCAACAGCCTCCACATGCACTAGTTACATAGCATAGCATCTACGTACATCATGATATCAAGAACAAGGTGATATCAAACTCTCAATGTAGACCTCCGAGGCCACACACTCATTGATGTCCTGAATCTGGAGGGTCTCATAAGTGCTATCTCTTGTATTGTAAACAACTATCTTTGACCCAAACTCCAACAGTAATTGATCATCCTCGGAAAGACCAAGTGCTTTGACACAAGGAAACGAGCCAGGAGTTTCCAAGCAAGGGAAACTGAACAACTTGGTCCAAGACTCTCTATTTCCATAATCCTGCATAAGCCAAACATCCAACAAGTTGTAACCATGAGCAACAACGCATAAACAATCCCTTAACACTCCCAAAGTCAAGTCAAGCACAGCCACATCTCCATAATCAGGCTGCAAAACCTCTTGAAAAGACTCCTTTTGCAAATCAAGAGAAACAATAACCGAAGAATATGAACTTTTAGAAGCCAACCAGTTAACCGAACCACTCACAAACTTGCCCGATTCATCTAGAGGAACCACAGAAGGAAAACCCCGAATCTCTCTCCACGAATCAGTACCCAAAGTGAGAACCTTCACTTCAGATTTGTAACCATTGGAACCACCATTACCGTCACATTCATAAGAAAAAACCGCGACCACCTTGTAACTACCAGAGAAACCATCATACCCGAACCCGTATATCGTATAACTACCCTCGCGCCGTTGATTTTTCAACGGCGGCAACCTCTTGGATTTCCCAATGCAAGGGTTCCACAAAAGAACGCGACTTTGATTAACGGCGAAGCAGAGAACGCCGTCGCAGGAACCAACGATCAAATCAAAACATTTTCGGTTGTTGGAAGGGTACCTGAGCTCGGTGGCGCCAATGGGAGCAGCGTCGAACACGCCGTGGAGAGGGTAGGATCGGAGGACGAACTCGCGCGTGGGGCTCGCGAAGCTTAAGGCGAGGCGCGTGGACTTTGGCGAGTCGCGAAGGTGATTCTTGGCGAATAGGGGATCGGAAATTAGGGTTTTCCAGGACTTGCATGTGCATTGGAGCGGTAAGAGGAGCTTCGCGGGGACCCACTGGAGGATCTCCGCGATGAGCTCGAAAGGGAGGATGGGCGAGGGCGGCGCGTGAGGGTCAGAGGCGGAAGCATGCGGTGATAGGGTTCCGGTGAATCGCTGCCTCTTGATGGGGGTGGTTTTGGAGGAAGCAGCGTCGTCATTGCCGTTACCTGAAGCCATTTCTAATGATGCTTGCTATTCCAGTGTTTCTGGAACTTATATAAGAAAGAGACCAAAAATAAAATAAATAAATAAATAAATGTGTATAAATGAACATCTTCCAGCAGCATCTCAGCCTTTCATTTATTAATTTACATTAATTATCATTATACATTAATTAAAGAAGAGAGAATGCAATGAATGATTATAATTTTTTTTTTGGGGGTGGGGTGGGGAGTCCCTGGGCAAGTATGGTTAAATCTCATTTTTAATCTATGTAATTTTTTTTCTTCTTAAATATATTTTTAGTCCATTAAATTTAAAATTATTATTTTTAGTTCCTGTAATTTTTAAAAATCTTATTTTAATCTCTTAAGTCATCAATAATATATTTGAAAGTGACTAATTAAGACAATTATGCAATATCAACCGGATGTAATGTGATATTTTTACTAGTAGAGATACTAACATATAGATTTTATAGAGACTAAAAACAATAATTTTATATTTGAGAGACCAAAAATAGATTTATCTTAAATTTAAGAGACTAAAAACATATTTAAGTCTTTTTTATTTTTAAGTTATTAATATTTACTTTAAATTAGTATTTTATTACGTCCTTTCACATGTTAAATATTTACTAAAATTTATAATAATTACATATATGAATAAATATTGAGGAATATTCAAATGACAATAATATAATTTTTACTAATTATTACTCTGTTTAATAACTTTTAATTAAAAATAAATTTTGTTGATTCAACCGCTAAATTATAATGTAAGCACATGTTGATCATGTTAGGCATGAATGTGTTGAATGATTATAAGTAACATGTTGTATGTTGTGTGATGATTGATGAATGTGAGAAATATATTGTTGTGTAATATTGTGTTGTGGTATGCATGAGACATATTATTGTGTTGAATTATGTTAGTGAGATGCATGGTGTATGATGTTGAAATGTATTGTAAACTAAAAAACTAGAGGATAAATGTTATTTTTAAAATTTGAAATCTCATTATGTGGTTATGTTTATGGTGTTATAAGAGCTTAATTGTTGAAAACTCTTATTGAGTATTGTTATTTCTTGAAGTGGAGTGTTGAGTCTCCTTTAAACCTTTAATTGATATTGTATAAGTGTTAAGTTGAGTCATACTGGTTTAGAAATGACCAACTAAGTAAAGTATAAAGTTGAGGGATAACATCTTTAACTGATTACTAGAAAGATGCATAATATATGGAGGATAGTTGGTAGGTTAGTTCCATGTACGTTTAGTTGATGCATATTAATATCGTGGTAGACTCATACCCAAGTTATTTTATTCTTGACATGGATATTATATTTTTTTTAGTTTAAGTGACAAAATTTGAGAAATCATGTTATGTTGTAGATTGATATCCAAACTTGTTGATCTAGCTAGTCAAAAGGATTGGGTTATTAAGTTAGTTCAATAGGATTAAGTCACTTAAATTACTCACCTATGTCATAAGAGATCTTTTAGTTGAAATGTGTGATGACACATTGTGTTGTTGTGTTGCCATGTTGCAGTGTTGTTTAAGTTGATACATTGCTCGATTGTGTTGTGTTGAAAGTTGTTGTGTTATTTTTATATTGTGTTGAGAAGCTACGTTGCTCTTATACTATGTTGATATGTTGAAAAGATGATAAGTTAACATGTTTAGTTGAAATGATTATGTTGATATATTGATTGACGATTGTTGAGTTAATCTTAGACTATTGTTGTGTTGTAGATGAAGTTGTTAATATAGTTAGTATCTTACTTTTATATTATAGATCTTGTTTTGTTATTTACGAGTTTACTCTTGCATTTTCTTTATTGTTGGACTGCTTTAATTATATTATTATGGAAGCATCGTAGGATTAGACTGGAAGGCAAGCTGAAATTCATGATGCCATGTTGGACAAGATGACAATGTTTTGTTACATTGTGTATGATGCAACTTGTAAATAATAGTCCCATTGATGAACCTTTATGTGTTTAGTTTATTATGTTCTATACATATATATTGTTGCATGTATATCTAGCAACTGTTGCATGTCAATTCTAGGTAATTATATTTATGTTTTTCATTATTTAGTTGTTAACCTGTAAGGTGTAGTAACTTGTCCAGTTGAAATAGCGTGTAACATAACACATGTAACAATTGAATAGTGTCTAGTGTGTGGAGCAACAAGTTATGGGGACAAAGTGTCGAGATATACATTAATTCAACAATAATTTAATTAATGAGCCCTCAGGTCAACCTTGACTCATAACCAAGTTGATGATGTCATCTACATAATGTATTATCTAATAAGATGATTGGATCAAGTTCAATTTCTAATTTAATTGGTCAAATATTTCTCAAGAACATGTTGAACCCACATATCTAAATAATGATGTCTCATGTACGTTTTTTTGTTTTTAAAGTTACAACTTTTTTATATATAATATACATATATTTTTAAATTTTGTTCAATAGATTGAATTTTCAATACTAAAAATGATACTTAGTCCAAAAAATAATGGATTTGGTTAGGTTGAATTGGATTTACCTAAACACTTTAGAACCTGAACCAAACTATTTAGATTGGATTGAATACAATGTAACACCCTAGTTTTTAGAAAATAAAATAAAAATAACAAAATTAATTAAGTAAATAATTTTTTTTAATTGTAGTAATTTTAATTGGGTTTTTACTGGTTAATGGTTAAAAAAAAAAAAGAATAAAACGACTTGTGAAACAAAAGATTCTAAGCTTTTGTGCTTTTTGGTCTCCTTCAATCCAATAGCCTTTGATGAATGAAGAGAGAGCGTAATAGGTTTGACCTAATACTCTTATTTTCTATTTGCCTCCTCAAACTCTCTCTTGCTATTAGAATCACGTGTGGAGGAGCTCGAATATCAAGGAAAAGAATATCACCTAATTGCACCCTTGCCTTCCGTACGGACATTCTTCAAATAAAGAAGAGTATGTTGCTTTGCTCATGAAAGTAGAATAATTATGGGTTGTAGAGTTATCTTGTATGATTTTCAATGGGTTCTAATAGTATGAAAATGTTATTGATTTGCTTTGTGAATGATCAGATAAATTATATTATTTATTCTCGACTTGATCATGTTATGGATTGAATGTTTAGGATTTTTGAGGTTATTTCAATTGATTTCAACACGTGGTTATTGATAAGACAATTATATACTTATGTGCCTTGCAACACATGAATTTGTGCCTTTTGTGGAATTTTTAGGGAAA